CCTGCTCTCTATGTCCATGGCTTACCTGGGAGATAAAAATTTCATAGAAGTTTGGGTTGGAAGGGACCTTAGCAGATCAAGTCTGACCCCCCCATCCTGGCTAGGCAAGAGTGCTGGGGCTAGGTGACCCCAGCCAGGTGCTTGTCCAGTCTCCTCTTAAAGCAGGGGTGGGCAAAATGCAGTCCGGGGCCCGGATGCAGCCCACCAAACCATTGTATCTGGCCTGTGGGGCCCCTAAAAAAATTTTGAAAATTAATATTAATCTGCCCTGGGCTGCCTGTCATGTGGCCCTTGGCTTGCCGAAACTCAGTAAGCAGCTCTCTGCCCAAAATAAATAATTGCCCACCCCTGTCTTAAAGACCCCCAAGGTAGAGGAGAGCACCACCTCCCTTGGAAGCCCGTTCCAGGTTCTGGTAACCCTTACCATAAAGAAGTTCTTCCTGACACCTAATCTAAAACTGCTTTCTGTCAGTTTGTGACCATTTTTTTTCTAGTAACTCCAAGGGGTCCCCTGGTAAACGGAGCATCTCCTGTTCCTTGCTGTCCACCTCCCCTCCCCCCCCCCCCCGGACAAATTTGTAGATGGCTACCAAATCCCCTCTCAGCCTTCTCTTGCGGGTCCCTCAATCTCTTCTTGTAGGGCTTTTCCTGCAGGCCCCTAACCATCCGAGCAGCCTTCCTTTGGACCCTCTCGAGGTTTTCCACATCCCTTTTGAAGTGCGGTGCCCAAAACGGGATGCAGTACTCCAGCTGCGGCCTTATTAATGCTGCATAGAGGAGGCATTGCTTTCTGACTGACCCTTGTATAATGTTGTTCACCAGTAGAAAAGGGCCTTGACAGAGCAGGAGACTATGTTGAAAGCTGGCTGTGTGTTCAAGAAATGATATACAAATTTTTGTGAAAGTTTTAATTTTTTTCAATATTTGACTGGGGGCAGGGGAAGGGAGGAGGCATTACTTTGATTGATTCTTGTAATATTTTTTTCCATCTTCTGTTGTCACCCAAACACTACCAACTTCCATAGCTCTTCCTGAGGAATACTGATGCTCTTTTAGAACCAGGGCTGCTTTGTGTCCTCGTTTTAGTCCTCGTTTCAGACTCGGTATATAAACTGGTAGACTAGACAGTATGCAAAGTATTTGGGATTTTTTTTTCCAAGTGACTCCACAACTGTGGCTGAAAATACAGTAGAAATACAGTACATTATAACAAACCCATGTTTTTAATAAATACAATAACAGGACTCAACTATTTTCATTACTATGATGCAGCAAATTGACTAACTCTGTTATAGCAAGCACTCTTAGAACAGTTTTTTTGCCCAGTTCCATAAGTGTCTATTATGAGATTGTACTTGGTGTATAACAGAAAAATGGCACTCTGGCATTCTATTTATTCTATATCTTAACTCCATATCCTGGTTTTCATTTTTACAAGTGGAAGGTAGTGGTTTTCCCCTTGCTGTCAGTCCTACGAACTCCAGTCTGAGAGCTGAGTAGCGTTCTTCCTTTCACATTCACTATCCTAAAACTTATGCCAGAGAAGAGCGTTCTACAGTCTTGTTGCATTGAGAATGCACAGGAAGGAATAGGCTCTAGTTCCCTTTTCAGCTTTGTTGCAGGTCCAGGGCTTTATAGGCAGCCAACGTGGTAAAAGCATATTTTGGTCACTAAACAGATGCAGTATGAATTTAAATCAGTGATTTTTTTTTTTCCCCAGCCATGGTGCCATGGCACCCTGGGGCACTTTGGAATTCTTTTAAGGGTGCTGCAGGTTGCCATTCAGTTTTAGCCATTGGACGTGCAAACATGATTCACAAAATAAACTTGGAGATTTCAAATAGGAATCAATAGTATTAAAACATGTATCCCTATTATCTTTCTGAGTTGTTTTTTTTTCACAACAGAAGAATTGCTCTATTTTTCTGTTGTCAAAAAAAAAACAATGAAAGCTAAGAGCTGCCATTTTTCAAACAGTACCTTGAGTCTAAAAAGGTTGACAACCACTGATCTGCGTATGGGGAAGAAGTACATCTGTAGAATTATGTGACCCTTGTCAAGAAGAATTTCTTGGAGTAGAACCTTTTGAGTGTGTTCATGCACACATACAGATGAATACATAATATACTTATATTTATATGAGAATATAAGCAGACAAGGCTCTGTGGGTAAATGTGATATCTCTTATTAGAGCAGTTAAATAGTTGGAAAACATTTTTTTTGCAAGTTTTGTGCCTGAAAGCTTGCAAAGAACAATTTTTCCATCTCTTTGATGATAAAAGATTTCAGATTTACCCAAAGAACCTTGTCTGCTTATGTCCTTGGACCAACACGACTACAACCAACAACCCTATGAAAATATAAAAGACTTACCTCTCTGGTGCATAAATATGGCAGAAATCAATCAATGAAATATTTCAGAAAAATTGTTTTGTTACTGTAGTTGTTTCCTGACTGATGTCTTTAACTTTTTTCTTTCAGGAGTGACAGTTCTTTCAGATTCTTTGTGTTCTTCTTTGTGTACATCTGTCAGTTTGCTGTACATGTACTTCAGGCTGCAGGATTTCAAGGCTGGGGTAACTGGTAAGTGCTAGCTTTACCCAGTAGTCTGTTATTTATCAAAGAACAAAATTGTTTTAAATCTACAGTACAAAGTCATATTCAGAAACAAATATTTTAATTGAAGTGATTCATTCTATAACACTTTCAGCAGTAACCTTATTGGTGTAGGAAAATTTTATTCCAAATGTACCTGAAGAGATGAATATTTTTGATATTAAACAGGATTTTTTTTATATTAGGTAGAAAATTCTTACATTTTACTGGAGGCCCCTGATTTTTGCAGTTTTTTATCAGTGTCTCTTCTCTATCCTAGTGACTTTATATATGCATGCTATTTGTCTTGTATTTGTAATAGGAAAATAAAGCTAAGAAATCATGAAAACAACTGGGCTGTTATGTTATTCAGGTTCAACACTATAATATTAATGTAACTTTCAGTTATGATTCAGTTGAACAGCTACTGGATATTTAATTGGATTGGTGCATCTAACATTTAATATATAATCCAATGTAAAAAAGAAAAAAGAAAAAAAAGTTTAGATATCTTGCTGTCTCCTGGCCTGCATCCTGTCTGCTGACTTACAGAATTCAGAAAGAACTGGTCAGGTTACTAGGAAATCGATTGTTTTGAACTTGTAAAAAGAACTGGTTTGCTTCTTTCGGTCTACCCTTCACACTTGGGACTTTTGCTTTCAGCACAGAATAGAGAAGAACTCCCCAGCTGTAAGCATTTTGATTAAGGTACTAGATCAGGGGTGTCCAACCTTTTTGAATGTGGGGCTAGATCATGAACTTTTTATCACCCAGTGGGCTGGCAAGCGATATTCAAAGACCTCACAGGAAGTGGTATCACATCAGGAAGTGGTATCACATGACCTTTGACACCAATGAAGTTGCAGGAAGTAACAATGGAATGGAATGAAGTGAAATGGAAATGTGGTTTAAAATCCAAAATAAAAACAATATAAAAGCAAGAATGAAATAATACCAGACACTTGACTAAAATAAACACTTTAGCTTCTACTCACTTTTCAATGAATGAAAGAAGCATAATGCAAGTCAATAGGTCAAATGTGGCAAAGGTATTAGCCAGAGTGGAAACTAATCAAAGCAACAAAATATGGGCATCTTTTAGAATAATCTTCAAGGAGTTTTGCTTTTATTGCAGTAATAACTTGTTAGTAACACATCTTTAACAAGTTAAACCCCCAATCCCCCACAAAGAGAAACAAAAGCAAACACAATCCAAACTCTGAACAGTATTTTTACAAAGATTTTTACCTTCTCCAAATTTATGTCGGAGCCCAGATCTTTCATGCTGTATTCTTGAACATATTGCGCAGTCTTAAACAAGCATACAGCACAGTTATCCAGTGAGGTTCATAATTGGGGACATTCTGTTACAACAGGAACTGTCCAGGCAAAAACAGAGACAGGTGGTAATATAACCGTTGTCAAGTCTCAAGAAAACAAGTATGCTCCAATCCACACTGTAAGTGTACAAAAACAGTGTAAAAAAAGATGTGTATAAGTCTACTCTTATTAACTTTCTGAAAACTACAATAAACACTGATTTTTTTAGTGTGATACCTGGCATTGTTTTTGCTTGCACAAATTTTCAATATCTCCTGGCACACTTGATGTGGCGATGCAGAGTATTCCAGATAAATGTCCATCTGTCAGAAGTGATCTGGATTTTGTTTTTATGTTTTTCATTCGTGAGAGAAGCTATGCACAGCAGTACGTGCTGCCAAACAGTGCAATGAACCGAAGTGCATGATTCAATAGATTTGGGAAAGAGTGCCATGTAACATTGACTATAAAATGTCAGTAGGTCATGTTCTGCAAAAGCTCTCTTTAAGGCACCATTATTTTGGATGTCAATTAGTTCCATTTGGAACGTGTCAGAAGCATTGGTGGCATCTGTTCCAAATGGATCAGCAAACAGCTTTAACTCATCACTGTGTTCCCTGAAATCCACAAATCTTTGTTTGAATTCATCCAGCAGACGGCCAATCAGTGCAGAATACTTGTCGTGGTTCGCAGTCTCAGCACATCTTGTTAATAGTACTGTGAAATGGGTGACATTCTTTTTATTCAACTATTTCTGAAACAATTCCAACTTACGAATGAAGGACTGGATGTGTTCATGCAGTCTGTTGACAAATTGATCCTTCCCTTGTCGTTTTATATTCAAATCTGCAAGATACTTGGTGATGTCACCAGGAATGCCAAGTCATTCAGCCATGCATCATCATCCATGAAGCTGACATCTTTTCCTTTGTTTGTCATGAAGATTTTAATTTTGTCAAGCAGTGACCAGAATCTGGTTAATGTGGCTGCCCTGCTGAGCCAATGAACTTGGCAGAAGTAAATAATGTCATCATGGTCTGATCCTATCTAAGCAAGAAATGCTTGGAACTGTCTATGATTAAGCCCCTTTGACCTTATGAAATTGACTGTAGAAACAACTTTTTCCCTCACGTGTTTCATCTCCAGGGCCTTTACACACAGTTGTTCCTGGTGAATGATGCAGTGATGTGTGATGACATCCTGAGGTGCTGACTTGACCAGTAAACTGACAAATCCATTGTGCTTGCCTGTCATCGCAGGGGCTCCATCAGTTGTTAGACCACAGAGTTTGTCCTCTGGAAGACTGAATTTCAACAAGACACGTTTCACTTCATTGAAAATGTCCTGTCCTGTTGTTTTGCCTTTCATTGGACATAAGTCAAGCAGTTCCTCAACAACATGGAATTGTTTGGTTAATCCTTGTACAAAGATTGCTGGTTGAGCTGTATCACTCGCATCTGTACTTTCATCAACCCCCAAGCTGTAAAACTGACAGGTGCTGAGTCTTTTCATCAGTGAATCTTCAATGGTTGATGCCATGTCATGTACTCTTCTAGCAACTGTCTGATGTGAAAGGTTGATTTTCTCCACCATTGACTGTTTGTCAGGGAATTCCACAGATGTAAATGTGCCCAAGCAATCTTTCACAAATTCTCCATCAGACAATGGTTTCCCTATCTTAGCTATTGCCTCAGATACCAAGAAACTGATCTTGGGTGCTGCCTTAGAATTCTGCCTTGCAGCTTTGAAAAAAGACTGTTGCCCATTCATGCTGTTTTAGAGAGTTCCCCTGATCAATTCTAATCTGACCCACCAGGCTGTAAAATTTCTTTGCATGTTTTGTAGAATAATGTCGCTTCATATTGTACTCCTTGCAAACAGCTACTTTCTCTTGGCAAATCAGACACAGGATGTTCCTGTTTTGTTCAGTAACAAAAAAATCAGTGGTCCAAGTATCTTTGAGAACTTGACATTCAGCATTAATTTTTCGTTTCCTCTGATTCGCCATTTTTTGAGCGTAGAGTAGGCCCTGTGGCTATAGAGCCAAAATTAATTTTAGTCATAGAAAAACTAATTTGGCAGAGACAGGTGAAGTTAAAAACAACTCACCAGTTCAAAAATCACCATTTTATTACTATGTAATAATACTGTGTTATTAATATGGACCCCCACCCAGCAAGTATAGTCATAATATGTACAGCTTGACATGTGCAGGTGCTGCCATCATATGCTAAGTGCAACCTCAAATGCCGATGGGGAGTCAGGGCAGGACTAGGACAGTGCCAGTCCCAGTGTCTCTGTCTCGTGACTGGGGCAGTCCAGCGATTACTGGGTTTGGGTCCCATATGGGCATTGCTGTCAGCTAGCACCACAGGCCGGTCAGTTGTTATAACCCAAGACAAACACCCCTTTACACCCTCTGTCCTGGGCCAGAGAGACCCTGCCTGTGCAGCCCTACTGCAAGGTTCGTGGTAGCTGCTGGTGGGCAGGGACAGGAGGGACCCATTCTGCATCCATACAGCCACTGCCCCAGAGACTGAAGGGGAGAAATAAATAGCTTTATATCCCCATCCCCCGAGCAGCGCAGCCCCATGAGCCAGTGCTGCCAGAGGGGGGGCTGGAGCGAAGCGGCCACTGCAGCGCAGCCCTTCACCTGCACAGCTCCACTCAGTGGTGCCTGGGCGCACGCACCCCCAGCTGCCTCAGCACTGCGAGCCCAGAGTGCGGGATCACCAGGCCTCGTGTCATGCCAGTCACGCCAGGATCCCACCTGCTGAGGCCCCCCGGGGGCTGCCCTGCTGACTGCCTGCGCCAGGTGCTGCACCCCATTCCTGCCTCACTGCCACCAAGCCCGACAGGTCCCAGGAAGCGAGCAGGATGCCGGGGGCAAGGGGCGGAGCCGGAGAGAAGTAGAAGCAGTCACTGTCCCCAGCTCATCATGTCAGGTGCAACTGGCATAGCCCCATGCCGCGCAGCCCTCAGGGCAGTGGCGGCAGGACCCGGCTCACATGATGAGCCCAGCCCCGTGGGGGTGAGCAGCTCCTGTCCCCTCCCCCACCTGCCTGTCTCAAGCGAGGGACCTCAGGCCAGAGAAAATGGCTTCGTGGGCTGCATGTTGGACAAGTCTGTACTAGATGGTGTGCAAGATGCTCTTCCTTCTCTGCTCATTTGTGCACCACCAATTGCTGCCGTTTATAACGTGCTAGTTGCTTCCTTTGTTAATGCCGTCAGAAAAAGGCTTCTACCCTTTTGTAATCAATAGTCTGCCATATTAGTTTTCTGATAGCTTATTTCAAGCTGCTCCATGATCTCAGAGCATTGCTTAAGGTCTTTTTATTCAAGATGTCTAATCTAGTGGTCTGCTAATGGGACAGGAGTTATTAATAATTATAACATGCAGGACTTTTTGAGATGCTTTTCTCAGATTTATATGAAGGTTCTGATGTATGTCATGGCTTTGCCTGTAGGTAGGACTTGTCTGCTCATTGATACGTGTGTTGCTACTTTTGAGGTCCTTCTCTCATCTTTGCTGTTCAACATTAAATGCATTCTTAAGTGCATCATTACTTAGCTTCTGAGTGTATGACAACATTATGTGCGTATCAGTGTATTTTTAGCATTCAGGACAGGCTTTAGTTTGACCAGTTTTTGTAGCATGTTCTTCACAGGACCTGTGAAAGGAGAAGGTGCAGACACCTCTTTTTGTTGTCAAGAAATGTGACTGTACTAGGAAGCCTTCGCTTAGAGAAGCATGATAGATGCATTTTAATTCTTGGAGTCAAACATGCTAAGCATGTGTACCTGATTTGCTTGAATAAGCTATCCAAAAGAACCATCATGTCTTATGTAGAGCGTCTGAAATCTCCACGTCCTCAGCACCTTGAGGAACTCCCAGGAATCTGACTAAAACCATTCTAATAGGAGTGGGACTAATTCTGTGAATTGACTTTTGGGATGACCACAAGCATTTGGTGGTTTTGATAAAATATTTATGAATGTGTTTTTGCAGTTAAGAATACATGGATTTGAATGCTTGGCATACCAAAGACAGCCAAACAGTGGAAGTTGTCTGAGAACTAATATAAGGTGACACTGAGGTATTGAATTAACTAGGAGTCTTGGTAAATACGTAAGCCAGCCTCCGTTGATCTTTCAAACGGATGAAATGCTGTCTAAGCTGTACATTGCAGGCTTGATTGGGAGCTGGGAAATTGTCTGACATGCACTGAAGTGCAAGTTAGCTAATCCTTGAACCCAAGGATGAGTGCTTTTCTTTTCTCAGTCATGTCTGCTGCTGTATCATCATACAGGCTGCTGAACAGCACTGGAGTACATAGGGTGGCTCGACTGATTTAATTTGTTGGTGGGTCTAAATTAATAAAGTAACAAGTCTCTATGAGGTGTTAACAGCTGAGCTGTATGATTTCAACTCCAGTTAGCTTGCAGGCTAAATTTGGTTAAAAGGATGCTTTAGGAATCAGTAGAATTTAGCAAATGGCTTCTGCCATCCGTGATGTTAATAGTTATGCCAGTTGCCTGCGTGCATCTTATGTAACTTAGGCTGTACACTGAACTTGCACAACCTGCCTTAACTTTTGATTTTTCTGCTTCAGAACAGAATCTAAGATACTAAAGTTGCATAAAGCAAATGTCAAAATAGGTTTGGTGTCAACCTGAACTACGCTGTGAATGAGGCCTGCCACAGCGTTTTTAATACCTATAGCATGTCTGAAATATAAACCAATCTAATCACCACTGGGGCCCAAAACCACAGCTTCTTGTTACCATTGGGGTAACTGGACTGTAGAGTTCAACTGATCTTTTGGTAAGTTGAGGAGCAAAAACTCCCAAAGTATCCAGAAAAGATACTCAGAAGTAGAAAAGGTTCTGTGGGTTGGTGTAGTGTGGTCCATCTAGGTCCTTTTAAATGCCTTTCTCAAAAATCTCCTTTTTCTGTCTTTTTTTAAAATCGGAATTAAAGATAAGGTGTATCTGTTTCAAGTTGCTCTCAATCAGCTGAATCAAATTAATGGCTCTACAGTCCCTTGCATTTGGTTTTGTGGCACACAGTACAGTTTAAACCATTGCCTAAAAAGCCACTCTCTTGTTATGAAATAATCATGAAGTTCTGTATAGTTTAGTGTGTTTTTTGCCTTGCTTTGAAACGTCAGGCTCTGGTCAAGTGATTATCTTATACCAGATTTTGTGTGTAAAAAGCAGTGGTCTGGCATAGACTTCTGCTGCAAATTTAATGTTAAAAGGACATTTAAATGAGTGTTTAAATCTGAGTAGACTACAAATGTCCAGTCACCTTCTGATTCTTCTGACTACATACAGTAGGCAGTAATGTTTATGAAATTGGCTGTCTCATTGTTTTGCTTGGTGTGCAGTCCAGTTTTGGGTGCAAGCCTTGGGATGCATGAAAAGCAGGCAAAGCGTGATTTCTTAGATTTAGATCAGAGGGATCGCCTTTATTATGGACTAAACCACCCATTTTTGTGAAAAACAGTTAAGTCTCAGGGTCATAGATTCATAGATATAGGGTCGGAAGGGACCTTGCAGTTCTTCTAGTTCAACCCCCTGCCCTGGGCAGGAGAGAACTGGGCTCATATGACCCCAGCTAGGTAATCGTCAAGCCTCCTCTTAAAGACCCCCAAGGTAGGAGCCACTTTCCTTGGAAGTTGGTTCCAGATCCTAGCCGCCCTGACTGGGAAGTAGTGCCTTCTAATGTCTAGTCTGAACCTACTGTAACAACATATTGCTGTTATTCCTTGTTACTCTGGGAGGCGCTCGGGTGAACAAGGTCTCTCCCATTCCCCGCTGGTCCCCCCTAGTAAGTTTATAGATGGCCACCAGATCCCCTCTCAACCTTCTCTTGTGAAGGCTGAACAGGTTAAGGTCCCGTAGCCTCTCCTTATAGGATCTGCCTTGCTGTCCCTGGATCATGTGAGTGGCCCTCCTTTGGACCCTCTCAATGCTGTCCACATCCCTCCTGAAATGCGGCACCCAGAACTGGATGCAACACTCCAGCTGCGGCCTGACCAGTGTCGCATAGAGGGGGAGGATCACCTCCTTGGACCTGCTTGAGATGCATCTGTGGATGCATGACAAGGTGCAGTTGACCTTCCTGACCATGTCCTCGCACTGTCAGCCCATGTTCATCTTGGAATCAATAATGACTCCAAGATCTCTTTCTGCCAGTGTGCTTTTGAGAGAGGAGTTCCCCAGCCTGTAGGTATGCTGCTGGTTCTTACTGCCCAAGTGCATGCTGCACTTGTCAGTATTGAATCCCATCCTATTCTCGTTTGCCCATCCCTGTAATCTGTCCAGATCCAGCTGTTTCCTGTCCCTCCCTTTTAGTGTGCCCACCTCAGCCCAAATCTTGGTGTCATCCGCAAATTTAAACAGGGTGCTCTTCACCCCCTCATCCAAGTCGCTAATAAAGAAATTGAACAGTGTGGGCCCAAGGACCGAGCCCTGGGAGACTCCATTGCTCGCATCCCTCCAGGTTGAATATGCCAAACTAATTTCTTCTCAAAAGAAGAAATACAGGGTGAAGATGCACATTTATAAGCAAGCACTTATGCAGATGCACACAAACAAAAAGCACTTATGCAGATGCACGCAAAAAAACCTGTTATTTACCTTAGTGAATCAGTCCTACTTAACCATGGTCATGTTCATAACCTCTGCTTGTCAGGGTTTCTATGAGCTTAATCTTTATTCTGCATTTTCTAATTTGGGGCCCGGGCACAATCCCTTTTGGAAATGTATCCATTTATAGCAAACATCTGTACTTTGCCCCCCACTTTGCACTGGGCACCCTGGCACCACCTTCAGCTCTAGGGCTGTAGGGTCCTCCAGCCCACTGGCTGTGTAAAGCCAGCCCCATTGTGGCAGGGGCAGGAAGTAGAAACCTGAAGCCCAGAGCCCCTGCTGCTGCAGCTGGAACAATGCAGGGAGCAGTGGGAGTGAGAGCTCACGGGCCACAAATTAACTCCTTGCAGGCCACATGTGGCCTACAGGAACACCAGTAGGGCAGCTCTAATTTAGGTTGTCAACAAGCATCACATTTGTACGAAGAAACATGCCCTTTTCTTAGCACAAAAAGATTGCATACATGTGGTAAATGGGCTTCTCAGGGAACAAAACTGGCTGTCCTGCCATAAAGTGGTTAGCTGTTCTAACCAGCAACTTCTGTGGGGAGAGTTTTTTCTGTACTACCTGTAATGTCTGTGTACTTATTTCAGGGTCCCTAGGACACACTTTGCTGCCGTCTCCAAAGGAGAGGGAGAGAGGTGCTGGCTCCCTGATGGCCAACCCAGTGGCAAGCTGCCAGGAAGCCCTGCAGGGACCCTGCTGCCAGGACTGTTTAAGCTGTGGTGCCAGTTCCTGCTGCTGCATGAATGCTCCTGAAGAATCCTAGGGCTGTTCAAACAGCAATGTGGCTTGCTGTCCTTGAACAGCAGCACAGTTCCTTAGGATGATTCAAGTGGGAACACCACTGCCTTCTGCCCCTTGCAGAGGGAATTACCCTCACTTCCCAGCTTGGATCCTCCCAGATCTTCCCAAGATGGGTCAAGCAGTGGCATCCCTGCCTTTGTATAGTCCCCTTGTTGCCTTTCCAGGGTGCTGAAAATTTTTGGCTTTCATATTGGATGCCTGTCCAGACCCTTGACCAAGTCAATTGGTTGGTGATTTAAAAAAATCAGATTATTATGTAGGATGGTGCTTTTTTTAAATCTCTTCTTGGGAGGAAAATTGCCGAATGTTATAAAAATTTTGACAGATAAACAGCTTTCTATTTCCTGATTTAAAAGACAGTTTTTTGGATGTTGGAATACAAATATTAAGATTACATAATTTAAGAAGTAAGCTTTTAAAACTACTGTAAGAAACTCAAACATACTCATATTTATAATTTCCATTATTTTTTTTTTCCAAGGATGCGTGAACCAGAAAGTTAAAAAATGCTCCCTTAAATGGACAAATACTTTGGCTTCACTAGTATTGCGCACCATGATGAAGTTTTTTTCATTTATTTATTTATTTTTTAGTGGATGGATTTCATCTCTCACTGGTCTTAACAAGAGTATTCCTGTTGGCATTATGATGATAATCATAGCAGCACTTTTCACAGCTTCTGCTGTGATCTCACTAGTTATGTTTAAAAAGGTAAGTTTATTTGTTTTCATTTCTTCACACTTCCACTTCATTCAGTGTCCCTGAGGTGTGTGGTCATTTCCTTCTTTAGAGGAACTGTTGTATCTTAATTGTTTATCATGTTCTTTCGAATGACAGTATTCACTCTTGAATTTTAAGTCTCATACAAATTTTCTTTCAATTTAATAAGGCACATTTACAGTGAAACTTTTGAAACATTTAGAGTTCCCTTGTTTTGTTTCGAAGGCTTTTGTTTTGTTTTAATTTCACTGTTTCGAGTTTGAAACACATCGAAACAGCTTTGAAACAAAATGCTGGGTGAAATTTCACACAGCCGTATTGGCTATACTAAAATACTCTGTCTGATGTGATTCTAATAAACAGCAGACACTGTTCCTCTGTGCTGGAGTTACCACAGAGGTAGGAGCCTCTGCAGTTACAAAGTACTTGTACTCAACAAACTCAAATGCTGTGAGCAAAACTGCCATGGGGTAAAATAGGGCTGTCGCACTGGCAGCTTCTGGGTCACAAGCAACCTCAAGGGGTTAACTTGTAGCTCCAAGTTTCTGGTCCAGGTGCTGCACCCCTATCCCTCTCTTGCTGCTGCTACTGTGATCTCCAGGCTCCCACTTCCTCAGTCTTCCAGCTTCTGCTTGCTACCCCTGCTTCTGGCAATGTGGGGCGCACAACCACAGGTAAAGTAAGGGGACTGAGACAGATAGGAGACTGCGTGGGAACCTGATTTTCAGAGATGCTAAATAACTTAGCTGTCACTGAAGTTAACGGAAAATTAAGTTCCGTAGGGCTCTTGGAAAGTGGATAACTTGTCTTTAGCTAACTGTACCCAGACTTTTGTGCCATATAGTCTAGTCTGAAAACAGTTGTGAAGGGCCAGCAGAAACTAGTAGTTAACTGGAATATGTATTCAGAATCTTCCTTTTTGTTTATGCCTTGTGAACAGAAAAAACATAGACTCTGATATCCAAAAACTATGTGCTCAGATATATGACGGGGCTGACAAAGTTAGGTTCTGATAATACTTTTGAACTTATCTTTAAGTGATTAATTCTCTTTTGGAGGTTTCTCATATTCCCAAAGAATTTTGTCATTCTGATAATTGGAAAGACAATTGGGTATAACATGTAGGAAAAAATCCCAGTGGCTGTGTTTTCCCTGTTTCTAAGACCATGACCATTTTTCTGTGCTAACCTGAGGTGCAGAAGAAATTTTAAGTTTCTACTTTTCTCTTAACCAGAATGCAACAGACAGGCAGGATATGTCTTTGTTTTTCCTGCCAGTTGACAGATGCTTATTGATCATACAGTGGATGAATCAAAGTGTGTTGCAATATGATTCAGTTCCACTTTTTTTAACTTGTTGTTTGTCCAGATTAATGGACCTTCATAACCTGTAGAGGAATGCTGCTATTTTAATTTCTGTGGGTTTTTGAGGTATCAGTAGGGAGAACTTTTTTTGAGTATTACACTGGGACATGATATGTCATATGGTAGGGATGTCAAACTCACTGCAGCCAGATTGGGCCCACGGACCCCTTTCCCACCACTGCCATGCTGGATTCAGCACATGACATCCACCCTTGGACTTGCTACATGTAGTGCCACCCACTTTCCCCTGGTCTGAGACTGCATGCCCAGTGCCTGCTCCGTGACCCATGCTGTGTGGCACTTGCACTACTGATCTGGCACTACACCATGCAAAGTGCATTCTCTGGCATGCTGCATGTGGGTGGTGGAGAGGCAGAAGTGGGCACTGTGTGGGCATGTGTCCTGGACCAGCTGGGAGGGGCACTGTATGTAGTGCAGATCCTGGAGCAGGCACTGTGTGGTACATGTTCCAAACCCTGCACATTTAGTCCAGCACATACCACATGTATCAGCTCACTCAGGGAGCACTGGGGGCTGGGTGACAGGCCTCAGGAGGCCAAATCTTTGACGGCCTTTGCGCATGGGATTTTTCTGTTTCCCTCCTGTGTGTACCTTCATAAAATGCACTTCACTAACTACTTAATGGAATAATCAGTGCTAGCTAGAGAAAAGTCTAGACTGAATGAACAAGAGCCCTCTGTAATAAGGCTGCTTGTTAATCTTTGTGCAGTGTTAGGACCTTGATTAATTTAATTTAGAAATAAGACTTTTTAGGCAGGGACTGGTACATGTTAGCAGAACCATGCTGTGGAGCACTAGGCAGGAAAGTGTAAGGTTGAGAGCAGTCTGAAGGCACCAGGACTAAGGAAGTATAAAGTGAAGCTTGGCTAATCCAAAGGGACACTGCCTTATTGACACCAAAAGCTTTGTGGAGAAGATGCTTGCTGAATAAAGGGCCAAGTTCTGAGCTCCATGTATATATTGAATATGCCAGGAATTGAATCTAAGGAAACTATTCTATAGGGCTGCACTGATAAAGATTTTCTTGGCTGATAGCCAATTATTAACTAGCCATATCGGCCAGTACAGATCCAATAAGCAATATTTAGTAATCTGGTTGAATGAGCTTTAGTTCAAGCGCCCCTGCTGCCCTTTCTAAGCATGGGGATGCTGATACAGGAGACATGGAGGCACTTTAATGAGAATGGATCCAAGAACTGTTCTAATTAAAGTGCTGCTCCCCTTTCCTGGAGCACGTATAAAAATGTCCTGTGCCACTTGCAGCCCCTGCCCTTCAATCCCAGGCTGGGGGCAGCTGCCTGAGCCCAAGGCTGCCCAGGGCTGGATAGTCTTTGGGCACTTAATTAAAGTGGCTTATGGAGCTGCTCTTATTAAAGTGCTGCCCCCCAACTTCCCGGAGGCTTCTTTCCTGCTGGGGGAAGGACCCTGCTGCACATGGGGAGGGTGGTGGTGGGGTGTTAACAGTGCTGTCTTGACCCAAGTCAGTGTTCACAGGAATCTTGTGTTCTCTCCTTCTCAGTCTCTTGACAGTTGCTTTGTTTCCATCAATGTTTTTTCAACTTTATGTAATAATTTACTCCTTTTTCCTCTAACTCTGCTTGACATCATGCAGATCTCACTATCTTCTACTTGTCCCTGCTTTTAATTTTAAATTTAAAAATCATTCAAAATCTGTTCTGGAGTGTTAGCTCATAGAATTCAGAGGTGTAGGTTGTAGCTGTGTTGGTCTAAGGACATAGGCAGACAAGGTTCTTTGGGTAAATCCAATACTAGATATCAATAAGCTAGTCTAATAAAAGATATTGGATTTACCCAAAGAACCCTGTAAGTTCATAGAATTTGCACTTTCCTTCGCCATTCAAACAAGTCTCAAATTTTCTAATTTGGAGGCAGAAGAATGTTCTTTTTTAGCATATTCTAAAAATTGTCACCGAATTTCCAAGCATTGTTTTCCTTCTTCCCTAGTAGACACTAACTTGATAGAACAACTTTTTCATTACTCAAATTTCCCAAACTATTTGACACCAGTCAGTAATCTTAGGGGTTGTCACTTCTCTTCCAGGCTTTTGCAGTTGTAATTCTTGCTGCCACTAGATCAATTCCTTATGACTTTTTGTATTTTGCAGATTCCTGATCTGATGGTTGGTATCCTACTATTTCCCTTACAGTGTTGCCAACCTTTTCCAGAACAGTTTAATTCTGGGACATATCTGCCATATGTGGCAGAATCCTCCCAGCTGACTATACTCCCTCCAGCATTTGCCTGTTCCTGTACCAAAAATGCATTTAAGTGGGGTGACATGTGATTGATACAGGACTTCTAAATAATTTTCTTTTATTATCAGGCAGATGGATACGTGAGGACTCTTGATCCAGATGGTCTTCTAGTCTTCACCAGTAACTTGTGATCCAGTATTATTAGCCCAGTTTGTCATAAACAGTGTGTGTGTGTGTGGGGGGGGGGGGTTTCTGTATGACTTTATTTGCTTTAAATGACACAGACAATAGTCCTGTGTCTCATTGCCATGACCAGAATTTTTTTTTCAAATTCTGTCAAATTTCTACCAAGTTGGGCCTTTCTTTGGGAATGTGTAGAAAACTGTCTAAATTGCAGGTATTAGAAAAATGGCATTTTAATGTCAACCTGTGGTATGCTGTGTTTCTCCTACATATATTTTATTTATCTAAAATGTATGATACCAGTATGTTCCAAGTTATTAAAGCTTCCTAATTATTAGGACTAAATTCAATATTACTATATAGAGTTGCTAAATGTGATAGGTATGAGCTTAATTTCTTGCATGTTATCCCAGGTTTTGTTGTTGTTGTCATAAAGGGATGATTTTATATTGAATTTGAATCTGGAAGATTTTTTTTTAGCCATGGTAATATATTATGTTTGACTGTTGGACAGTGTGTTTGCTCTTGCTCTGACCTGGTTCTAAGTGTGAAGTGGTGTTATCCAGGACCCCAGATCTTGAAGTTGGCTGGTTTGAAAGTATTATTTAACGTTTGGAACATGAGTCTCTGCCCTCCTGCTTTTTTTTTGCTGAAGCCTTTACAGGATGCTATTTGTTTAAACCTAGGTTTCTTATTTCCTCAAACAGGTTTATTAAATGTAGTCTGTTACTCATCCAAGAGATTTGTTGATGCTAAAATAGGTAGAGTTTAAAATAGACAAAAAAGATAAGACAGCTGTACATAAAAAGGAGTAACTACTTCATTAAGATACTTGGGAGTGAATATTACAAAAAGTGGCAGGATTTGTACAGTTCTAATTATAGTCTTCTGATTGCAAGAATCAAAAAAGACTTAACTTGGTCAAAATATGAAATTTCAGTTGGGTAGAATCGCAGCCGTTAAAATGACTATTTTAGCTCACATTAATTTTCGATCTCGTCCTACGCTAATGTCAAGGAGTTTTGACTTTTCAGAGTTAACTAAATCCTGAAACCTTGCCATATTTTGTTTATTTATTTATATTTCAGATGTATTAATTGGTTGGGTAATGAATAACATAACATTCTCTGCATATAATGCTAATTTATGTTCCTCTTGTCCTGCTTATGCCCCATATATTTGAATTATTTTTGACTGCTTGGGCAA